AAAGATTTATGCTGTGGATTGGGATTTATGCCAGTCGTTATCTTGTGGGACTTTGTTTTGTTTGAATTACTTCTGAAATGGCTGCTTTCTGTTTTGCTCGCTTGAATTTGAAGGGGAGTCATAACATTTTTGCTTCTGGCCACACAAACCATCTTTAACCCAAGATGGATCCAAACCAACTGCAGCGTTTGGTAGAGCAGCAACAACAACAAATAAATCAACTACTTCAAAGCAATGTGACTCTTCAGAATCAGGTGACACAACTGGTGAATCATCCTTCCAGTTTGCAAAGCCCTGCTGCTGCTCCCTCTGCCCCTCCCTTGAGGAAAAGTATCCATGCCAGAGAAATTTTCAGGGCAAATGGACATGTTCCCGGCATTTATGGGTCAGTGCCAATTGTTTATATCTCTGAGGCCTGAAGACTTCCCAAACGACCGGGCTAAGGTAGGATTTATGATTAGTCTATTAACTGGGCAGGCTGCCAAATGGGCTACTCCCTTGTTAGTTCAAGATAGCCCATTGTTGGACAATTTTCAGGGTTTTCTACAACAAATGAGAGTTATGTTTGAAAACCCAATTAAAATACAAACTGTGGACAGACGGTTATGGGACATTAATCAGGGGAAACGTCCCCTGCAGGAATACATTGCAGAATTTCGTTTGCTGTGTATGGACTCTAACTGGAACGAACCGGCTCATATGGTTGCATTCCAGGAAGGCTTGTCTGATGCCATCAAGGATGAGCTAGTCCATGCAGAGCGGGCTTCAACTCTGGATGCATTGGTAATCCAGTGCTTACGTATTGAAGCTCGTTTACAGCAACGTGGAAGTAAACGGCCCGTTGTGGAACCACCTTCGTTTTCTCGTGCACAAACCATGTCACCGAGAGTTTTCCAAACCACGGTTAAGGCTGAGGAGCCGATGGAGTTAGGCGCACTCCGCCCTCGCTTAACGGCGCGAGAACGTTCGAGAAGGTTCCAGGAAGGCTTGTGCCTTTATTGCGGGGGTCCAGGACATTTTGCAAATTCCTGCACTCGGAGAGGGACTCACAGACCTGTGCCCGAAACCACTCCTGGCCCGTCGGGAAACGGGGTAGGCCCGACCTCGGGGAAACCCTAGGTCGGGCACATCCTACACCCCCACCCCAAATTGCTGAAGTAAATCCTGGCCCTCCTCGGCATTTACTTTTGGACACTCGTATCTTTTTGCAGTCCCAGAAGGAGGGAATTCCCGCCGTTGCGGTGGTGGATTCAGGGGCTACAACCAGCTTTATGGACTGTGCTTTTGTCAAACATTTTGAAATTCCTTTGATTCCTGTGAATCCACCCATTAAGGTGGAAACAGTAGATGGGCGTGAACTCAAGTCGGGACCCATTCGTTTCGCCACTCAGCCAGTGCGTATGCTTATTGGGGATCATGAGAAGGCGATAAGTTTTTATGTCACCTCGAACCTCCATCTCCCTTTGGTTCTCGTAGTGTCCTGGTTGCGTTTGCATGATCCGTTGGTGGCTTGGGCGCAGAACGCCATTTCTTTTCCAAGTCTACAATGTGTGGACCACCTGAGGCATGTCTGCGCTGGCCAAGATATCGCCGCTCCTGCTGTCTCAATTCCTTCGGAGCTGTCGGACTTCTCCGATGTTTTCAGCGAACAGGAGGCAGACCAATTACCACCACATCGTGCTTATGATTGTCCCGTGGACCTGATACCGGATGCTCCATTGCCAAAGGGGCGGTTATACTCCATGTCAGAGCCCGAGTTGGTTGCGCTCCGAGAGTTTTTAGATAAAAACTTAGCTCGGGGATTTATTCGACCCTCGTCGTCCCCTCTTTCGGCTCCCGTTCTTTTTGTTAAAAAGAAGTCGGGAGAACTTCGTCTCTGCTGTGATTACTGACGATTAAACGCTATCACAGTGAGGAATAGCTATCCCTTGCCGCTCATTCCGGAATTGATGGAGCGGTTGCGGGAGGCTACAATCTTCACTAAACTCGATCTGCGTGGGGCCTACAACCTGGTTCGGATGCGCAAGGGGGACGAGTGGAAGACGGCATATGATCATTTCGAGTACACTGTCATGCCATTTGGTCTGACCAACGCTCCCACTGTATTCCAGCATTTGATGAACGACATTTTCCGGGACATGCTGGATAGGTTTGTCGTGGTGTATTTGGACGACATTTTGATTTACTCTCGGTCCAGAGATCACCACCTTCAGCAGGTTCGTCAAGTGATTCAGCGTCTTCGGGAGCATAAAGTCTACGCGAAACTGGAGAAGTGTTTCTTTTTTCAGTCGTCGATAGAGTTTTTAGGGCACATCATTTCTCCCGAGGGCATTGCTATGGACCCTAAAAAGGTTGAGGCCTTGTGTAGTTGGGAAGCCCCTCGTCGAGTCAAGGACGTACAACGTTTTTTGGGATTCGCCACCTACTATCGGACTTTTATCCCGGACTTTGCTAAGTTAATGGATCCCATAACTCAGCTCCTCCGTAAGAAGGTCCCGTTTCTGTGGGGGCCCCCGCAACAACAGGCTTTTGAAATTTTAAAGAAAGCGTTTGTGGCCGAGCCGATATTGAGGCATCCTGATCCGAATCGTCCATTTGTGGTCGAGACAGATGCCTCTAATGTCGCTATCGGAGCGGTACTGTTACAAGCTTCGAAGGATGCCGCGCCTCTTTTCCCATGCGCATACTATTCTAGGAAGCTCACAGCTTCTGAGCGCAATTACACCACCTGGGAAAAGGAGTTGTTGGCTATTAAGGCTGCCTTTGAGACCTGGAGACATCATTTAGAGGGGGCTCGGCACAAGGTAGAGGTTCGGACGGATCATCGAAACTTGGAACATTTGTCCACCGCTAAGAAGTTGAACCAACGCCAGATTCGGTGGTCGTTGTTTTTCGCAAGGTTCAATTTCTCCATTACTTATGTTCCAAGTGGACAGAATCGGAGGGCAGACGCATTGTCTCGGAAGCCCGAGTATATCGGTCCTGAGGATCCTCTTCCTCTACGAATGGTGTTACCACCAGAATCCTTGGCCGTACTTCAAGATCCAGTAGATTTGCGGGCTCGCATACGGGAGGCGCAACGATTGGATGCGTGGACGCAACAGAGACGGGGGGACGTTGGACCTGATTCCCCATGGTCCTTTGAAGAGGGCTTGCTCCGACATCGGGGTTTATTATACGTACCCACCAGGTCGCTGATAGCTCTCATCATGACACAGTGTCATGATAACCCCGCTGCTGGCCATTTTGGATTTTATAAAACTTTGCATTTGGTCACCCGGACTTTTTGGTGGCCTCGGGTTCGTCACGATGTGTTTTCTTACGTCGCTTGTTGCGTCCAGTGTAGGCAAGCGAAAGCGGCGTCGGGTGCGCCCCCTGGACTCCTTCAACCATTGCCGACTCCGGGCAGACCATGGGGAGCGATCTCCATGGACTTTCTCACGCATTTACTATCTTCGTCGGGCTTCACGACGGTGCTCGTGGTAGTTGATATGCTGACTAAAATGGCTCATTTCATTCCCTGTCGGAGATTACCATCGTCCCGCACTACGGCCCAGCTATTTTTACAGCATATCTTTCGTCTACATGGATTGCCGGATAGAGTGGTTTCAGATCGTGGGGTTCAGTTTACTGTGCAGTTTTGGAAACAGTTAATGGCAGCGTTACAAGTTCAGGTGTGCTTAGCGTCAGCGCACCATCCAGAAACTGATGGCGGGACTGAGAAGGTGATTGGCATTCTTACCCAATATTTGAGGTGTTTTGTCAATCAGCGACAAAACGATTGGGCAAAATACCTCCCATTGGCAGAATTCGCCTTTAATAACTCGCAGCACACCTCCACTCGTGTAACGCCGTTTTTCGCGAATGTGGGTTATCATCCGCGCTTCTTCCCATTAACATTGATGGATTCCCCGGTTCCTGAGACACAAGATTTTCTGGAGGAATTACAAGCGGTTTACCGTTTAGTAGTACAACTTGAAAGGGCAAAAAAAGATTATAAACGGTTTGCGAATCGATCACATCGAGCAACGCCTCCGTTAGCTGTGGGTGACAAGGTGTGGTTATCCACAAGACACCTTCGGATCGATCGCCCAATTAGAAAGTTGGACCATCGTTTCATCGGTCCATTTCCGATTGAGGCGGTTATCAACCCTGTGGCATACCGACTCACCTTACCGCGCTCCATGCGCATTCACCCTGTCTTCCATCGTTCCCTTTTGGTTCCTGACTCCCCGGAGTGTCCTCTGCGTGCTCCCGCTAGTACGACTTCCCCATCGACGCCCCGTGAGGAGGCTGCTGTTGATGACACGATGGCCAGCGTTACTGATTCGCGTTGGCTAAAGGTTCTTTTTCAGTATTTAGTCGGGAGGACAGTGGATGACTCGGAGGTTTGCTCATGGACGGATGCGTCTGCAGTTCATGCTCCAGACATTATTCGGGACTTTCATGAACGTTTCCCTTCGAAATCGCATCCGGATCGTCAGACCCGGGGGAAGGGCCCTGCGGTGAGGGATAGTGTTGTGGCTCCGGGTATGGATTCTGCTCCTGTGGCTGATATGAGTTCAAGTGAGGAGGACATGGCAGAAAAATATGAGCTGGCATGGCTCAGTGATTGGAATAGTAACCAGGATGAGGAGATGGATATAACAAAGGAAGACAGACCTGAAGTATTAGAATTGTCAGGACCTTTGACCTCCTCTGGTTCTTTATCTGATCAGCAGCTGGGAATGGCTGACAGGGAAGGCATGAGAGAGTCTTCTAGTGGAGATGAGAATTTGGAAAACTTGTGGTTAAACGTAAGGAACAGAAGGAGACTAAGGAGACAAACTCAGCTAGAAAGAAGGAGGAGAGCGAGCCAATAATTAGGGAAATTAGCACGTTGCCTAAGTGAATAAAAGGACACAGCTGTGCTGGTAGAATTCGCCAGAAGCAAAGTGACTAATTGAGAGTGAAGACGTTACAGCAGAAGCTCTGAGGCTTGAGATTTATTGCCACAATAGGTTTGCCGGACAGAGTAAAGATTTATGCTGTGGATTGGGATTTATGCCAGTCGTTATCTTGTGGGACTTTGTTTTGTTTGAATTACTTCTGAAACGGCTGCTTTCTGTTTTGCTCGCTTGAATTTGAAGGGGAGTCATAACAAGGAACAATGTGGAAATCCAAATAACGGAACACACACAAAGTGTCTAAGCACTTCATTGTTTAAATTTGGAGTAGACTATGACCTTTATTTATATACCTGCCTCTCCATCCTTCAGTGCTCTCAACTTCCTTATACAAGAGATAAGTTTCCTCCCACCAAACAAAGCATACTGAATGTTGCAAATTTGTTCCACAAACACAACAGCTTCAGTCTCCAGCATGATGGATTTCCATGCCTACCTTGAGAATCCGGTTGAAATCCCTTTTGTCCACTCGCAAGAAGTGGCAACTGTCTTCACGAAGGATGATGGTGGCAGCACGGGGGGCATCATTCACGAGTGCAAGCTGGCCAAAGTCATCACCTTCATGTAGGGTGCACACTAAGCCCTGCAAAACGAGTGAGTGAACCAATTATTTTACTCACAAAATCTAAATACCACCTTGGCAAATACGAGTTGCCCTACTGAGATCATTTGACTACTAAAACCACAAAATTGTTCTTTTGTATCTTATGTTTAACTTAACCAGGAGGAAACCAGATTAAACACAGCTTAGGAAGAAAGGTTTTAAGGACAGAAGGTTAAGCACACACAATTATATTAATTTTGCCTTGTAAAGGCACACCCCCCAGAATGTCTTACATTATATGGTAAACCTGTTTTTATTCAGCAACATGGAGTTCCACCTTACTTTAACATCTTAGATATACAGTATTTATTTTCTATTGTATGGCTATTGTACCCCGTGACACCGTTTTATGATAAGTAATATAAACATACATAGGAAGTGAGCACACCAGACAAAAGGCCAAGCCAATTTCCCACCTTACCTTTGTACCCTACTCTTTCTCTCTCTATAGACACATATGTTTGTATGTAAACATAAGGGGATGGGAAGCTGATTTGCAATGGGCAAATTCATTCATGTGGACAAATTTTAGCACTAAAATTGTCCAGGGAGGAAGGGGAAATTTTGGAAGACAGAATTTTATTGCAATGAATTTTTCTTTCATGAATTTATCGATTAGGAAGGTGGTGAGGTGATGTCTAGGAAAATTACAGATGTTTAAATTGGCCTCGTATGGGAACCTTACAGAAAAGTAAATTTTGACTCCAGATTTTCCCCAGTCAACATGAATATTGTTGAGAATTTGGAGTGTTGGACAGACAGCTGGAAAATGCCTGGATTATTGAAAGGTGGGTTGTTATGTAACAAGGGAAGGGTTAGAACATGACAAAGGAAAAATTTGTAACCTCGTAAAAGTTTGAGATAAAGCTATACATTAATTGTTTGCAAATACAAGCAACTCTAAAATCAAAAGCATAAATCCAAGGGCTAGAAACATTGAAAGAAATAAGAGTTCACTCTCTTCTAGTATCTAAATGCCTAGAATTCTTGGACTTATTCTGAAATCAACCCTTTTGATGCCTAAATACATTAAAAGTTCACACCTTATCATGTGTAACAACATTGACTGATCCTTTCCAAATGATGTACCAGGACGTGCCCTTGTCCCCTTGGCTGAACACTGTGGAGGAGAGGGGAAAAGGACAATATGTTAATTACAAGGAAATTACAGCAGAGGCAAATGTAGTACAGTTAAAAATGGACATATTTAAAAACAAATTAACAGAAGAAGAAAAGGGCATCTTGAGCTGGAGTTAAGAACAAAAGAGCGAACTAGGAACCTTTTAAAAAGGAACACACAGATTTTAAAGAGAGAAAAATGAACAGCAACACTGACAGCTTTCCTCCCTGGTTTCACAGAACAAAGGATTGTTGAATGCCACTGCTGTTCCTTTTTACAATGGTTGGCGTAAGTTGTTGTGATACTGCAAGTGGCGTGCATAAAGATGCATATCATTTCAAAGAGGCCAACTCACAATGGCTATACCTGCCAGCCTAGCTACAGCCAAATGGCTGCATAAAGTAGCAGTATGGGGTACTTGAAGGCCACTGTCAGAGACAGAAAGAGTATTTCCAAAGTGACCAAAAAAAAAAAAAACTGCGACTCACACACAGTTCCAGCCTTGGCATGGGACTCAAAAAGCAGTACAGCAGCCAACTCTCTCCTCACCTGCAATGGAGAAACAGCCAGTGAGTAGGCCCTATAACACATTTCATTGAGCTATCACACATTTCAGAAAGCAGCAGTTGGTAACTGAAGTCAGCATGTAGCGTAAGACAGCATTTAAGCTAAATCCTTACATTTCTAAACTCAATCCACGCTGAGACAAACATGTTGAGACAAACAAACTGAAGGTTTATAAAATAGATGCTGTTTTTTATGTTTTTAAATCTTCTTCAGAGGGGAAAAGGAAGGAAGGAAGGAAGGAAGGAAGGAAGGAAGGAAGG